GAAAATTATATCTCAATACAGTTGTTATTAAAAAAGTAGCCAGCACATGTGGATACATAGAAATTAATAGAAAAAGCAGCCTGGCTATCCAAAAATTTTCATTCTGCCATGTTGCAAGGGTATCCTCTACCTAGGGCTTCCTGAATGGCTGATGGTGGGTCTGGTTCTTGCTCTGTCTTATTGTAACAGCTCTTCATGAAAATAAACAGCACAGAAGATTTTTTTTAATGGATGGCTAAATAGTTTAAGGGAAAATGTGGACCACATGTCGTGTCTTCATCTGTTTGGGCTGCTTTAAGTAAATAGACTGGGTGACTTATAAACAACAAACATTTATTTCTCACAGTTTTGGAGGCTGGGAAGTCTAAGATCAAGGTGCCGGCCTGATCAGGTTCTGATAAATGCCCTCTTCTGGATTATAGATTGCCAACTTCTAGCTATGGCCTCACGTGGTACAAGGGACCAGGGAGCTCTGTGGGGTCTCTTTGATAAAAACACTAAGCCACATTGGCTCCACCCTTATGACCTAATCACCTCCCAAAGGCCCTACTCCTAATGCCATCACATGGGGCATCAGGATTTCAACATATGAATTTGGGGGACACACAAACATTCAGACCATAGCATGTAGTCATACTCTATAAGAGGTAGAGAACAATAAAAGCCTAACAGCTGTCAGGTTATCTTGATATTGTCAGTTAAGTTGCTGTAGTCAGCGGTTTTAAACAAGTCAGGTATTGTTTTCACTGTTGCTTTTTTTCTGGTTATAAATACTGTTCCTATGAGGACCCAACTGGACCAAAACCCATGTTTGATTTGGCAAAAAGAGAGAGTGCTCTGAGTAATTAAATAAATATTGGTTTGCTAATTAACTTTTAGTTCTACTCTCTTTCCTTTTCTTTGACAACATTCCATAGAACGTGCACATGTTTTTTTGATTTATTGAACACAATATATTACATTATTAATTTGAAAAGCAGGTAAGTGTAACATTCTAGATGTGGTAGGCAGAATTCCAAAAATAGCCCCCAAAGTGTCACCTCAGAACTGTGAATATGATGAGATACCACATCCATGGCAAAAGAGACCTTGTAGATGTAATAAAGTTACGAGTCAATTGACTTTAAAAGAGGGAGATTATCCTGGTTTATCTGGGCTGGCCTAATCCAATCATGTGATAAAAGTAAAAGAGGGGGCAAAAGAAGAAGTCAGAGTGATTCAAAGAGAAGGAGGGGCACCTGGCTGGCTCGTTTGGTAGAGCATGTAACTCTTTTTTTTTTTTTTAAAGATTTTATTTATTTATTTGAGAGAGAGCATGAGAC